GGTTGCCAAATCAAGACAACGATAACCCTTATGATGAGTTGGGTAGCCTAGAAAAATACATAAGGTAGAGCGAGGAGCTAATTTATGTGGGGCAGTGGCAGACATATTAGGATAGCAAGCACAGCCAAATGTTCTCAAGTGATCATATTTCGGTGATGGTCCAGTCGATTACACCATTGACAAGCAATAGGGGTTGGCGAAGTTAGTAGTAATGGGGGTAAGGCACAGGTAGAACTATTGGCAGAATGAAACCCAGCCACTTGGCCATCAAACTTTGCAAACAAAGACCCATTAAAACCAGCACCATGAGTCCCAGAATAACCAATTGAAAAATCAGAGGCACCATGAGCAACATTGCCGAAGCCGCGACCAGAATAAGAATGGCCAGAAAAATTGGAGCGATGATTCCACACAGTACGACCACTTTCGCGAGATCCCCGACCTCGATTAGTCCGGCCTCCCCTAAAAGAATTATTCCGGCCAAAACCACGACCTCGTTGCAAAGGAGCAGCATAATGAATCTAGAGATCAGAAGGGTGAGTAAGTTGCAACAATTGACTAGAACTAGAAGAGCCATTCATCAATGAGCTAGTTGAAGATTCCTGCAAAATATTAGCTTCCTCAATCAACAGTAGCGATCGCAATTCCAAGAAAGTAGGGAAGGGAACACGTTGAGGAATAGTGCGCTTTGCCACTGCAAAGGAATGATCAAGACCAGCAATAGTTCGAAGCACTAAATCTTTATCAGATACTGGATGACCAATTCCGAAAAGCCGATCAGATAACCCCTTGACATACTGCAAATAGTCCATAACACTCTGGCCAGACTGCTTCTGAATACCATTGAATTCTTGAGTTAATTGAAGTGCAGTAGCACTAAGTTGGCTTTGGTACAACTGATGAATGGATTCCCAAGCTAATTTGGCTGTGAGCTGCTTACCGAGTTGAAGAATAAATTGAAGAATGTCTTTTGATATAGTGGCCTGAATCCAAGACAGAACCTGATAATCAACCTGCATCCAGGAATCAAAATCCGGACTATTAGGGGAGGGACACAAATCGGAACCATCAACATGACCATAAACGCCTTTGCTTTTCAATACAGGAATCATCAATTCCTTCCACACAAAAAAATTAGTGTGATCAAGAGTTTCTGCCACATAATTCCGAATATTGGTGACGGAGAAAACGGGATGAGAGAAAACAGAAGAGGCAAGGGTTGTGGGTAAAGAGGAAGAAGTAGGAGGAAAAGGAGGAATAGGGATTGACGGCGTGATAGACACAACAGGAGAGGAAGGGGCAAAAATTGTAGAAAGAAACGGAGGACCAGTGGGAATAGGAGAAGTAGAGGAAGGAGACAAAGAGGAAGAAGACGAAGACTCATCCATTGACGCAAAGGCATAGCAGAATAAGAAACCTAGGGTTTTGGAATTGATTTGGTGCTAAGAGAAGGCTCTGATACCATAAAGAATATTGAGGCTGAATCAATCTTTATTAGGTTATAATCAGGGTATATATACAAGATGTATAGAAGTATATTTACACTTCTAACCCTATACGATATACACGTGTATTATGATATACATTATCATATACTGCTGATGCTAATGACAGTGGAATAAGAGAATGTTGGCTTGCTGTTACTTCAAACAAGGATATTTTTGTATGCTGCTCTAGCAACAG